TGCTGAATTGGAATTCATTTGCAAATTGGATACTATTAATTTAGGCTTAAATAGAGACTGGGAGTGGCTAAGTCATTATGCAAGGTAGCCTGTTTCCTCTTGTTTTTTCCTACCCCCCCCCCCAGATGTTCTGGTTTAACTTGGATTTAAACTTGGAGAGTGGTCAGTTTAGATGAGCTATTACCAGCAGGAGAGTGAATTTGTGTGTGTATGGGGGTGGGGGGGATGTGAGAAAACCTGGATCTATGCAGGAAATAGTCCGACTTGATTATGTAAAGAGTTGTCACTTTGGATGGGCTAGCACCAGCAGGAGAGTGAATTTGTGTGGGGGGGTGGAGGGTGAGAAAACCTGGATTTGTGCTGGAAATGGCCCACCTGTTGATCACTTTAGATAAGCTATTACCAGCAGGACAGTGGGGTGGGAGGAGGTATTGTTTCATATTCTCTGTGTGTATATAAAGTCTGCTGCAGTTTCCACGGTATACATCTGATGAAGTGAGCTGTAGCTCACGAAAGCTCATGCTCAAATAAATTGGTTAGACTCTAAGGTGCCACAAGTACTCCTTTTCTTTTTCCTGATACTGAATGACCTTGTCTCCCAACTAAATGCATTCCTTCAACCTGCAGATCTGTTAGTGTGCTGAGCACATTCAGTTCAACTCAGCTATTTATTACATGATATCTGTCCCCACCTTGTGGTAATTTTGATACAGAGTGAATCCAAACAACATATATCTGAGTATTTAATTTTTACATTTTAGTTTTACATCTTAAATCTGTAGGTTACCAGCTTAAAGAGTGAAGAGAGGTTTTGATTATTATGGCATAAGGACACTAACTTTTCTTCTTCAATAACAACAACATAAATCAATATTTCCAGCATGTTGATTCAAGCTGCATATATGTAGGCTTGGCAGAATTTGATTTTTTAAAAATAATTTTGACGGAGTGTATCCATGTTTATTTTTAAGCTTTTTTTCAAATTTTATCTATTTAAATTTTCACAGTTGAGTGAAATTATGGGTAGGGTCACCAGATGTCCCGATTTTATAGGGACAGTCCCGATTATTGAGTCTTTTTCTTACATAGGCTTCTATTACCTCCCACCCCTTTCCCAATTTTTCACATTTGCTGTCTGGTCACCCTAATCATGGGGGGGACAAGCAATAATTATTTAATGACAATATATGTGGAGATTCAAAAAGTTAAAGCTTTAAAACAAAAATTGTCAACATAACACATACAAATATACTAAGTAAATACCCTTAAATCAAACTTTAATAAGTCCTCAAGCAGCATTTGTCATTCATTGCCTGTCCATAATGCCCTTCATTTTCCGTTTTCACTGATTTTTATTGCAAAAGTCCCAGGTTTTACATAAGCTATTATTTGTGGGTGGTGGTTGGTTTTTTTTTTCTTTACTGATTTGCACCACAGTCCTGGACCACTCAAGTACATGAAAATACCGATTATTTGAAGAAAATCAGATACGTTACATTAGGTAGCTGTATTTATGTTAATAATAAATTTGTCTGAGTGTAAATACGAGGCTTTCTGTTAAAGCAAGCAATGTAATGGAAGATATACGTACACACTCACGTGCATGCATGTGCACACACATTGTTAATGTGCAGTCCATGAAATAAACCATTGAACTGCTTTCACTTTCAGTTTTCTTACTTCTTGCTATTTGTTGGGTTTGTATTTTTATTTTTATTTTTTTTTGGTGCTCCAGTCCCCCAGTGTTAACCACAATATTTACGCAGAAAATTGTGAAATTAATTTATTGTACTGATTTTCACCTGCTTCTATTTTTTTTATAATACTGATAAATTCCTGGGAAATTTTAAACAAAATAAAAATTGAAACCTTTTTGTCAATTTCTATTTTCATCAATGGAAAATATGTTTTTGTCAGTTTGTGCATGTATGGCAAAATCAACATTTACTGACATTTAACAAAAAAAGATCAAATCCTTCCAAGCCTGTACATATATCATGGCAATTGGCATCAGAGATACATGAAATAAGATATTCTGTTTTCTTGTAACACATATACCGTATTAAAGTCCAGAATCCAGATACTACAGACAAACGTAAAAATCCTTATGTAATTTACGTTATACTTTGTCAGGCAAACTATCTCCATCTTAAACAGATGCTGTATATCTGTATACCAATAGTCCATCTTTATGGATAATGAAGTGGAATAAAAGGTTTTGTTTCCTGATACTGACTAATATATTTATGTATTTAATTTTTAAATTTTATTTTTACGTTTACATCTTAAACTTGTTGTCAGGGTTCCCTCCCCACTCTGAACTCTAGGGTACAGATGTGGGGACCTGCATGAAAGACCCCCTAAGCTTATTTCTACCAGCTTAGGTTAAAACTTCCCCAAGGCACAAATTCTTTGCCTTTGGATGGTACGCTGCCACCACAAAGTGATTTAACAAAGAATCAGGGAAAGGACCACTTGGAGTTCCTATTCCCCCAAAATATCCCCCCAAGCCCTTACACCTCCTTTCCTGGGGAGGCTTGAGAATAATATCCTAACCAATTGGTTACAAAGTGATCACAGACCCAAACCCCTGGGTCTTAGGACAATAGAGAAATCAGTCAGGTTCTTAAAAGGATTTTATTTAAAAAGAAGTTAAAAATCACCTCTGTAAAATCAGGATAGAAAATAGCTTTATGGGTAACAAAAGATTCAAAAACACAGCAGAACTTTCTCTAGGCTTAGTTTCAAAGTTACAAAAAAACAGGAATAAACCTCCCTCCAGCAAAGGAAAAATTCACAAGCAGAACAAAAGATAATCTAACACACCTTGCTTGGCTTTTACTTACAATTTTTGTAATATGAGAGACTTTTAGGATGGTTTATAGGAGAAGGAGTTTTCTGACCTGATGCTTCTCTGCTTCCCAAGAGAACACACAAAAACAAAGCCTTCCCCACCCCACCCCCCACCTCCCCCGGCAAGATTTGAAAGTATCTTCTTTCCCCATTGGTCCCTTTGGTCAGGTGCCAACCAGGTTATTTGAGCTTCTTAACCCCTTACAGGTAAGGAGGAATTCTAGGCTACCCTTAGCTGTATGGTTATGACACTTGTAAATCACCGACTCATACAGAAGTTTGCATATACAATCCAGCACAAACGACAGTTCAGTTGTTGCCTATATATATGCTAATCAGAAACAGCCACCCACACAACGTTCTTCTTCCACTTACCTGCTCAGATTTTTCCTGCTATGAGAACAATGATTATATGGTTGTGTAAAGGGGCACATGACAGGGATATATGTACATAAGCATATGTTACTGGATCAGGAGCATACACCAAGAAGAATGCTCTGACCCCCTAAGCATCATCTTACAGTGCCTTTTTTTTTTTTTTGCTTTTGAGAGAGTTGGATTGGCATAGTGAACTGCCATCCTGCACTACCTCTCCTGGATGCAGACTTTCTGACAGTAGCCAATGTCAGATTTTCCCTAAGGCGCGTAACAAAATAATGGACATAAAATGAAACCAGGACAAGCATATAGGCCTAATAATACCAATATAATAGAATCTCTCATGTAACATTTCCAGACCAAAGCCCCAGTTGTAGCTTAGCTAGGGCTTGTGAAATGTACAGGTATAGACATTTTCCCCACAAGCCCACAGAATGGCTGGGGAGCCAGTCTGTGAAGGCTATTTCATCCCCTGGCTGAAATAGCTCTGTTCACCTTTAACATGTGTCTGCTGTAGGGCAGTACATTGCCCCATAAAAGGACTTCATACCACATAGAGGTGCATACTTCTGCACAATCCCAGTCGTCCTTTATGTGGTACAGCCATACCTGTTCTCCTGCCTTCATGGAGGTGAGGCACTGGATTTGCCCCTAAGTGCATGGCCAATTTGTCAGAGTTGTACAGAATAAAAGCAGGGTGGAAATGTAATTGTGAGCGATGCAATGATGGTTCCAAAGATGCAATCTCACAATGCATTTATGTATTTTGAGGGGAGGGAGGGTTAGTATCAAGTAGCTTTAGAACTATTTTGCTATGTTTAAAGGGTGAGTGACTACACATAAGAACAAAGGAAACTTTAAAAGGGAGTCTGATGTGACAGGGGTTTTTACAAGGTGTGTTTACTCAGTACAATTAGAGTGCTCTGTAACAGTCAATATACGAGAAGGGGGATAAGTTGTTGGTTTTTTTGTTTTTTTAAAGTTTAGCAAATGTCTTGCATATGAGTGATCCCAATCAATTCAATAGGAGTTGTGTGAAGGTTAGAAAGCAGCTTAGACTAGCCAATAGATTGTTGACAATGAAAATATGAGATCATAACCAAACACTTTCAAACCAGTTTGCCCACCCCACATGCTTATTGATTCTTGGGAAAACCTCCACAGGAGAGCTACATATGCATGCCCCAAAGATAGGTAAAACTATTTTATATTACAAACATTCATTGCCAGAAGTTCAGCATTTATCTTTATTAGGCTTTTTTTTAACTATTAAGTGGGGTTATAGTCATATGACTCCGTTTCACTACAGTGAAAATATTTCAGTTTAAGCTCCACGCAACACAAATAATTTAGGGGCAATAGTCAAATTCTAAAAGTCTTTTTTTCAGCACGTTGTGGTGAGAACATTAATCAGAACATTTGTTCTTTCCTACTCTTAACTGACAACATTTATCTTTCCAATTCACGCAATGTTATGCTTTAGAACAGTGATTCTCAAACTGTGGTAACCTGTAATATTGGTGGTAAGTGGGCACAGTCAGGCTGTATGAGATTTAGTTTAAAGTATACTACCACTGACTGAAATTCTGAAGGTGGTACACCGAATACAGTCTGAGAATCCCTGCAACAAGTCTATATTTGGGATAAATGTGTATTGTTGCAGGGCTGTTCTTCCTAAAAAGTGTGAATTTAAGTTAAATTACTTCATTCTTGTTATTTCAAAATGAAAGAATTATTTCTATTATTTTCTTTTTTATTTATTCTTTCAGAAGCAGACACTCCATTAAGACGGATACTCTGACTAAAATCCCTCCAAAGGATATAGCATCCAGGGGAGGGAAGAAGGAAAAAGATCAGCTGACTTAGCCCATATGAGCCAACTCACTGCAATCCTCTAGCATTGTCGTGTTTAGATTTTTGATATGTGTTATGTACTCAGGGTCGACATGTCCTAATCAAAGCTATCATAAAGTAAACTCTAACTCGGGCAGAATGACTTTGTGGGTGAAACTCTGGCTCTACTGAAGTCAATGGCAAAACTCCCATTGGCTTCAACAGGGTCAGAATTTCGCCTCATGTGAATTCTTCCTTACGGGATACACCCCTACTTATTTATAAGTTACAAATGAACCTCAAAAAGGGTCCAAGAACTGTCAAGGTGTGTGTAAAGGTTTGGGCCAGATCTGAGTTTGGGTCCATTCTTGGTTGCATTGGAGCAGGATTGGGCACTTGAATCTGTAAATTTATGTCCATCCCTGATAGTAACTCAATTGGAAACCATGTTAATTATACAGTAACTGAAGTTTCAATTAATACCAATTCCTGATAACATGTGTCAATGTGTGTAAACTGTGTAAATAACCCTGTGTAATGTATTCAAACTCATACAGCATATATTGAGTCATGCTGAAGAGAACTATGCACTACTAGTGGTCTGAGCACAGGCCTGACAGTCCGCAGCTCCTGAGTTCTGATGCCTCCTCACACAATCACTTCCTTGTGCAAGCAATTTAACTTCTCTGCCTCAGCTTACTTATCTGTAATATATTCATATTTACCATACAGGAAGGTTATCAGAATGGTCACTTAATATTATGAAAGCACTATACACTGGTATTACTCGGGCTGCTAGCATTAATTTGTCTCGTTGTATAGTGCCCATGGCAAAGACCATACATTAAAAATAGAGCTTTCAGTTCCCTGTGCTGTGCTGTGCTGCTGTGGAAAAACAACTTTTCAAGTTACTTTAGTAGCAAGTGCTAAATATTATTATTTAGTAGTAGTAGTACTATTAGAAAGAAAGTTTGTTTCATACATATTTTCTATACATTCATGCCAGACAAGTTCTTAGATATGAAAATGTTTCTATTTAAACTGGTCACAGAAACATTAAACAATATACACATCACAATAATTAACTTTAAAACCAGTTTGGTGCAGTTTTTTTCTCTTTAGGCAAAGGAACTGATATGGTGGATTCTGATACACTTTTCTGTTTGTCCTTTTAGGATCCTAGATGAAATATTTTACTATCCCAGCACTCACTATAGTTGTTTTTCCTCATTAACTTCTGCTTTCATATATATGTCTGTAAAATAAACTTGATTTGTCTTATGTTTTCATATAAAATCAATGTATTCAGATCTTTGCTGCTGTTATCTGAAGTAAGAAAAAAGAGCAGAGACAGAAAATTTAAAATATAGTACTCGGTATTTATGCAACATTACATTTTCTATATCCTGTAAAATGAATCGAATGATTATATACAAACAAAGCAGCCCTTATTCTCTTTCAAGTGATGACTTCACTAAAAATCTCATCAAGGTTCTTATTCTGTGCAGGAAAGAAATGGGAAAGTAAAGAAATCCATCACAGAAAAAGCCACATAAATGTGCATTGCAAGGCAAGCCTTAGCAGTCCAAAGACAGTTTGCAAGCAATGAGCTGAGAAAAACTAGCATCTACAACTATGGAAAAAAGTTTCCCACCTTTAATCATTCATTCCTCCATATGCTGTTGTTTCAACTGCAAACTTATGTCAAAATCATGTTTCATTTCTAAAACCTAAACTATTGTACATACCTTCATTCAAGCAGCCACACCTCCTACTTCATAAGTCCACTATAGTATTTGTGAACTATATATTGTCTGCTCAGTACATATCCTGTACGCTTTATGGATGTAATCTGCATGTCTTGCCATAAGCAAGCTGATGATAAAATAAAATCAACTACAGAGCTATCCAAAATACTTGTCCCTAATAGTAAAAATAATGAAATAACTATCAAAAGGATGGATTTATATCTTCAGATGCTGCTAGGGGCAAAGCATGTTCATCAGAATTTTGCAGAAAAAATCTGGATAGTTGCCTGTTGCTTAGATGAAGAACATTCACTGCATATTTGTTCCTCCCACAGACCCCAAGGATGCAAATGGGTATTATGCATATTGTATCATTTTCGACTATATTCTAACCCAGAGATATGAATAGAATGCCGTTCATTACACAGAGAAGAAAGGGGCCTGGAGTAGTTACACAACTCAGAATACTGAATTTTCAGATTCTTCTTGTTGCAATAAAGAATAAAGAGGGACATTTTCTAGAAAAACTGCTCCACATGCCAGGGAGGAGATCAAGAAGTGATGGGGATGAAGAGGAGAACATAAGCAATTAAATCAGTAGATAGAATAGCAGCTTGTAATTAAAGATGAAGCAAAATATGAAACTTGAATCCTAACCCCTTCAAAATTTTCAGAAAATGGGTTTAAACTTCAATCTCCAGGTCCGAACTCACCTCTCAGTTTATGGTTCTGGTCTGGTTATGCAACCCAAAGATTTTGGTTCTAAATCCCATACAAACTGCTGACTCCGCAGAGCATCTGATCCAAAGCACACTGAAGTCAATGGGATTTGGATCAGGCTCAGTATTTCCCCCATGAAACATCAAGTCACCTTTTATTTCACAGCGAATCTCATGAGATTTTCACCAATGAGGGTAAAAATATTGCAATAACTGTTCACAAGATTTCAGTGCTGACTAGTCCAAACCCACATTTTAGCCCTGATTCAGCTATGAACCTGAACCTAATCTCAACACCACCTTCCTGGCCCATCTTTAATTATCATTTTTGTGTTACACATGGGATTGTTTCTTTTCTGCTTTCAGACTTTGTGTGTTGTCTATAAACAGTCACTGGTGGCTTTTCAGCACTTACCTTTTTCATTGCCATTTGCATATTGTGGAGGCTTGTTTTTGTCAATGCTGTTAAAGCTCTGACTTCTCCGATTTAAATTAGAAGCTCCCTGGACCTTGGTACTGCTGCCTGCAGCTGGCACCCTTGAGGGCCCTGGAAGCCTAGAATAGTATAATCAGAAATTACTTTGTTGTACAAGATGCAAAGACATCAAACACACACTTTGTCAAGTATCAGACCAAAGTATGGAACCAGTAAAATGAATAACAATGATTTCACATAATGACAAAGAATGACAGGAATCAAGTTAGTTAGATTCAGCAGGATCAATGAAAATAACAGTTAATCCTAACACACACAAAAGGGAAAAAGATGTTTTATAGCATCACAGGGAACAAGGATGCTTTGCATTTGCCATTAACATTGCTAAAACAGATTCACCCACATATATTATTACAGTGTAATATTTTATTTAAATATATCACAAGTCTGTTTTCTGGAGTAAATACGGTAAAATTGACTAGAGAACATAACAATAAAATATTTTGAAGAAATACCCCAAATTCTCTAAATCTGGTAAATACTCTAGTTAATTGCATTTATAGCACAATAACTAGACTTTGACTAAGCCACTTCACTCAAATACATTTTGAATAGCTATTGGCTTGTAGCTCTAACTATATTTCAAATTGGTCTGCATATTTATCTCAAATGCAGAATGTTGAAAATAAATATGCTAAGGTAGATATTGCAGATGTATGTATACCCTATGGAAGAATATAATGCAGACTATGCAGTTCATTTGTTACTATTTGCTGCCACCATCTGAGCCTTACTATGTAGTAGTGTTATGAAAAAATTAGGAGCCATTGTCTGTAATATGTATAAACGATCATTGTATTTTGCTTGATTCAATTCTCTGACATAAGATTATTTAATACAAGTCTGCTTCAAATTTCCTCCATCACCACTGCAAATATACCCCCCCCTTTTTTTATACAACACATAATAAAATACTCAGATCATCAACAGACTTTTGCAATAGGGATATAATACCCATATTCTGTTACTGATGGACTATGCAAATGTGATGAGTAATTTCAAAGACTTTGCTAACAACAGCGTGAATTATTGTAGAGTTCTCAAATGATACTAGTGTCATCATATGATGCATCATGAAAGGGCAATAGCGGGAGAGAGGAAAGAAATTAAAGGACTCCAAAATGTTAGATTTTTATAAATGTTTTGCTTAACACATTGGTACATCAAAAATGTTGAAATCATTTTAGTTTCATTAGATAACACATATAAAGAGCCCCACATTCTGTTACATTACTGATTTAAGCCTCAGAGAGCTAATCCATTCATTATTTTTATGGCTCATTCTGGCTGCCAGCCTGCCCCACTAGTCTCTGTGCTGAGACCAGAGCAGACTGTCTCTACAGCTGTATGCATTCTAACCTTTAGCATGACCCATGAATTCTAGTGATCTTCTGTTCCCTGAAGAATGCACTAAAACAAACTTAAAAATCCATTTGCTCTTTCTCATTACCCTAATTTGACAGGCAGTCAGAGCCCTGAGATCGTTTGTCAAAGGTAATGAGAAAAAAAAAGCAATGAGAAGTCATGTGCAACACTGGAAATTCATCTGTTCTATTAAAATGTAAAGTACTTAAGTGTATATTTTACATGCCAGAATCCTCGAACTTGCAGCCGTAACCACATTATACATGAGGTAACTTGCTCTACATACTTTCCAATTTACTTCATTTACGGTCATTAATTGAACTCAGTTTACAAATTGCCCTTGCAGAATCATTTTAAGCAACCAAGGAAATGCAAAGTAGGAAGTAACAGATAAGGGACAAGTCACATACCTCTGATCAGGGCCTTGGCAACACTGTCATAGATTTAAAGTATTAGACAATAAAAACTGTTAGCCTACACATGCTGAATGGTGGACAAGACAGTAGTGTCAGTAGTAAATGAGACTGAAGACCTATGATCACAGGCATAAAGCAACTACACGCTGGTATGGTTCATTGCAAGCTATCACCAGTCACTCAGATTGTATTAGTGCACCACATTATGAAATGCAAGCTTTATTGTGGATTACATTATTTATAGTTCATTGTTCTCAGCAATGAACTGTACAGCAAACAGTGTGATTAATAAAGACATTGCTTATCATAAACACAAACTTACAACAGCAAGAGGGACTTGAATTCTTTTCTTCTAAAAATCTGTTTGTGGATTTTAGTGCTCATGAAAGTGAAAGATTAGTAGCACTGGCTAGAGCAGACAACAGGACAGGCAGGGAAAGTGTGAGCTTCTGCACACAGCTCTGTCAAGTACACTTCAAGCTTTAGCTGAGGCCCTTTGTGTCTCCAAATCCAAGTATCTCATGAAGAGGGGCTTTACCTGTGCTATTCCAGGGACAGTAGACACAGTCCGTAACTGTTTGTCTGCTACATCTTTGCTCCTCTGCTCCTGACATCCAGGAATTTAGGGTTGCCAACCCCCCTAGATTGTCCTGGAGTCTCCAGGAACTAAAGATTAATCTTTAATTATAGACTATGTCATGTGCTGAGACCTCCAGGAATACATCCCACCAAAATAGACAACCCTCCATGAACAAGACTTGTGTGATGATTTTGGATGTGGACACAGGAGCTTTGGATGGACTTCCAAATTCATTTTCACTTGTGACTCAAGTAAGAAGTTGAGTCAAAAGCTTTACTAAATCCCTAAGCCTTCTAACCCCTCAAATCTGATATTTTACATGCAGGATACTAAGATGCAGGACATATAACAATCAGAAATATGGCTAATGGTATTGTACAAATTTGCTTTTGCCAGTCAGGTGCAAGGCTTTCCCATGACAAAGCTCTGTGGTACAAAATTTGCATGATTACACATTGCAATGTTTACTTATGTCCAAAGAATAAAATACCAATGGGCACTGACTCAGTTGAGTATCACTAATAAGCAATAAATGAGAGATATTAACTGACCTAGAAGTCTTTTTTTGACTGGTTGCAATTCCACTGTGATTAGACTGAGTTGCATATCTGGCTCTCAGACTGTATGAGAAGAAACAGAGAAATTGAATTAAAGAATTTTTGAACACATATAGAAAGCACACACTTACCAGCAAACTATGAGTTAATGTAATGCAAGCTGAACATGTACAGAAAACCCAAATTAATCAGCAAAGAATGAATTAATGTGCAGGATATGAGTAATGCAATGTACAGATTATGAAATAATGGACGGCACCGTAATTTGCCTCACTTAGAAAAATGTATTAACGTTTAGATATAGACAGTTTGGGAAAAAATTCAGAATGCCCAAGTTTCAGCACTGGTAGTGTAATCTGCAGCTTCAAAATTTGTGTTTGTGTTTTTGTGTCTTCAAAAAGAACTGCAGGCAAATATGTAAGTACTTTTGCCTCCAGCTACCTGATCTGTATCTGCAATTAGGTAGCTAGAGGAGAACAAATATTCCAATTTGCAGCTACATACCCAGTGTGGACACAAAATGCAGATATAAATTGAACCCACCAAAGGAAAGGCAACTGAAGAAGTGGGTTTTTTACCCACAAAAGTTTATGCCCAAATAAATTTGTTAGTCTTTAAGGTGCCACTGGACTCCTTGTTTTTGTGGACACAGACTAACATGGCTACCCCTCTGATACTTGACACCAAAGGAAAGATACCCTGCTGATAAATGTAGCCATATAGAAGTGTCCACTGATGTTTTCTGTCATTATCACTCAAGCTAATTGTAACAAAGTGCATTGCTCAGACAGATGCTTTAATAGGCGACTCCTGCTATTTATTTAGGTTTCCTGTCACATTCTATAAGGAGTCGCATCTTAGCCTCTTTCAGCATGCAGAGGGCATTTCTGCAATACAAGACATGTCCGTGCTAGGGGGTTACTACAACAGAACCCTGTTGGAAGGCCAGACATGTGTCCCATCAAGCAGGAGACGCCTGGTGCTGAATCTCTGTTGCCTTACGGCCAGTTTATGCCACTCCCTAGTGAAGTGTGGTTCTATACGACCGGGTCTCCCAGCAATTTGCATGAGGGGTTTGTCTGACGCATGGCTATGGGGAGGAGCTGCAGCCGATATACTCTAGCTATTATGGCTGATACAATGTAGAGCAGCCGTCAGGTCTTAGAGCCCCAGATCATGGGGAGGCACAAAGGTGATTTTAATCATAGGTCAGGTGAAATGGGAAACCAGAGCCTTAGGGCTTTTGAGGATGTGGGAGGAAACCAAGTAAAATGCAAGCTCCATTTTGATTGGTTTGGCATAAACCCAGCAACTCCCACACTTTATATTTTTAAATCACTGCAGTAATAGCAGCAGCAGCAGCCACCACCTCTGGCCCTCTGGCCCTGTATAATAGGCTAGCACTATTTGCCAAAAACACCTATCCCTGCTAGGAGGTATTGATTCTGGTAGGAAAAAGTTAAGTGGTTTCTGCTGATGCACTAAGTTAGGCAGCGTATTAGTCTCGCTGAATATAGTGACTGAAAATAGTGAACACAGTGTAACAGTGACAGCTCAGCATGATGATCCCTTCATTTGACCTGCTAGGATGACAAAGAGGTGGGTGGGAGACCTTTTCCAACTGTGAGATATTAAGGCAGAGAATTATTCTTAAATATTCAGCCGCTAGTAAAACAAGATACTTTGGTTCCCTTTGAGCTTCAAGTGCCCAGACTGTTATTGAGATAGTGGGAACCGAACTTTGTGTTTATTGTTGCTAATTTCCGTGTTAATAAATACAACCCCAGTAAGGGATCACAGTATGACCTCTAAAAATATGTGAACTGTGTCTGCAGGTTGGAAATGGCCCCTGCTCACACACGGTTTGAAAGATATAAGAGTATACGAGTCCTAACACTGGGGTGTGGAGCCACCCAAAGAGACAGCGGTGCCACGGCCCTTTGGAATAGACAGGTTGTATAACCTCAGAACAGTGACAATTCATGGTTTGAAATG